CGCCATAAGGGCCACTCCAAAACGACAATACCAGGAGTGCCTTAAGGGCGACTCCGAAAAACGACAATAGGGAGCGCCATAAGGGCCACTCCAAAGAACATGACATCGGAAGAGGTGCCTTAAGGGCAACCTCAAATGCATGACTGTAGTAGTGTCGCTGTAACTCGCCGCCGACTTTACTTCCATTGCCAGCTTCCATCCAACTAACGATCTACTCCACCGACGTGATCGGGGCGACTGATGTTGTTGTCGCAAGTGACCACGTCGCTCTCATCACCCAACGCCGAACTCGATCCTCGACCACCGACTACCAACTTCCTCGAACCACCATCGAACCACTCGATCTCGTCCGGCTCGCCACTCGTCGCTTGCTGGAGGGATCGCCACCACCACATTACCTAAATCTTTGAGTAAAGGGGGTGTGCCAAACGCAGTAAAACACCGACATAATTACACAGTCATAAGTAAGTGGGGAACAAACTTACCTGTTATAACCTGCCTGTGTACGTAGTAGACACAGGCGCAGTTGCATCGACCTAAACTTCCTGAAACTTAAACTTACCTGCTACAACTTACCTGTGTATTTCTTAGCATTGATGTAAACTATCATCTTTTTTAAACTTACCTGTTTACTTTTCCGCCTGTAACAAACTTACCTGATAGTTTACCCCATGCACGTATTAGCCAGGGATAAGACCACTCTGGCAACGAATTAACTTTTATTATCTTTATTTCCCCCCGCCGTATTAGTGAGGAATTGCTACTACTCACAACGAACTTAATGGGGAAATGACTACTACCCATACGGAATAGTGGGGAATGGCTACTACCCACAACGGATTAGTGGGGAATTTCTACTACCCACAACGTACTTAGAATAGAAACTTCCTAGCTCATGTTGCATCTTCCCCCGCCGGCTCTTGAACTGGACCCTTGGGGTCCAGCCTCCCCACCAACGCAGAGAGGTGGGCTCGTAAGCAAAGAATGCAACGAATGAGCATGGAAGTTTTCCACAAATAACGTATTGAATGAAGACGCTTTATAAACTCGCTCTCTTCCCATCATATGCGAGATCGCGGTTGTCGTCTTCCTCGCTATCCGCGTACTCCGATTCGGAAGGTTCGCTCTTCTTGGCGAAGTCGTACCGACCGTGGAGACGGTGGATAACCTCTGGACGTATTATGCTGACGAGAAGAAAGGTCCTCTCGTTGCGAGGATTTTCCTCGACGAGAATAGGACATTTCTTTCTCGCGGTCAGCCAGACTAGATCCACGATTAGATGATCTGTTGCGTGTGGAACGACATGAGTGTTTGGTTGCTTTGCGACAAAGCATCCTGTGATGGCTTCCTTGACAATCTGGGCATGGAGGCTTATCACATTCTTCTGCTCTGTGGCTCTGCGCGAAACACTTGAAACATAGTCGTTCTTCATGCACAATGGCCCATCGCACTCTTATCGCCGTCACACGATTACAGTGAGACGTACGATGGTGCAAGGACTTGCAAAACACACAGCGCAACGATGCGTACGAAATTCGTCGACGTGTGTCGTGTGGAGGCGAATTTTGTCCCCGCATACGACCGCGACTGGACGTACTAGATGAACGGGATCCTCGTGAAGAGGATCGTGTAACGGTAAGTGAGCTTAGTGCTTCCGACGATATCTTCGTGGGAGCGGAGTCTTCCACTATCTCGAAGGTTCGGACCACTTGGTCGAGCGCATCGAGAAGCTGCGGGACTCCCCATGAAGATGAATCGTTAGCCTGCACTTGCCCTACCCGCTCTAATGTCTTAGACGGGAATTTCTCACGTATTATGCGCATGACGAAAATGTTCTCGTCATGGTCACCGAGCTTCTTAAGTTGAAGCCATAGCGACTTAACTTGCGCTAACGTAATACGTTGGTTGATAGCTGAGAGTTGTTGCCGGCTTGAGACTTTCAAGTCGGTACTCAGCTGCATACGAATAAATTCGGGGCGAAAGTATGTCTCCCGCAACGTATTAACTGCCAGCTCGTAGTTAGCATCCGTAATCTCGTACCCGGCTACCATGGACAATGCTTCGTCCTTCAACGAGGTCCTGAGATAATGGAATTTGACTGTAGGGTGGAATTGGTACGGTTCGAGTGAACCGCAGAGTCAAATATATCCCAGAACTCTGCGAACTTGCAATGTCTCCAGTAAATACGGGGAGATCGAATGCTGGCAGACGACTGCTTGATCGTGCTTTACACGGTCAAACGACGTATTATTAGGATTGTTCGATCTGTGCTTGGGTCGTGGACCCGAAGCTGGACGAACAGCTCCTTGAAACGGAGTAACTTCCCTAGGCCGATCTTCCTGCTCCTGGAGGAATTCTTCCTCGGTGCGGCGGAGAGATTGGTTAGGGGTAAACGCAGTACGCCTCACTCCTAGTGACGCTCGAGGACGAGCTGGAGTGGAACATGCATTAACATCCTCTTGAAACAACGACTGCATAGCGACCTCAAGCCGAGAAAGAAGATCGCTCACTGCATCCTTCGGCGGCTTCTCCCCCACTAGTAGACCAGTGGGTTAGATAGTCGCCGACGAGTGCACGGCGCGCCTCCTCCGACTCCTGCTCAAGGGCGTGCTGCATCGCTGCTCTCGAGCTTGAGTAGCATACTCGCTTTCGCGAGACAATGTTCTGTGTGCAATGTTAAGAGGCCTTACCACGGTCCTTAACTTGCCCACTTGCTATGTCCACATCTTCATCGAGCTGTAGATCTTCAAAAAGTGAAGAATGGATGTTGTTGACAG